TCCGATCTTATATATATATATATATATCTACTTCACATTCCATAATGTTTGTATATATACATCCATTTAAATGTGTAAAAGATTAATTATAGCGAATATTAAACAAAATGATAATGATAATTAGGTGGGAGATAGACCATAGACAGAACACAAAATTAATAATTCAACGAGGGAGTGTTCCGTAATTTAATGTTAAATGCAAATTGCCATTGCATTGCACACGCAACTTTCAATATTAAAGCTGCCGCCCCAACTTCCTTCAGCCTTCATTTTTTTGGCCCATTAATTTATCTTTATTACTAATTTACCCTTTCATTCCTCAAGTAATCACCGAATTACCAACAGCCCCGCCGAGAAGTCAACGCGGTCCCGAACCATGTCTGGAAATAATAAATATCATTTCCATTTTGTCAATCTTTTCTTTTTTTTTTGCTGTCTATTTATTAGTGACATATGTATTGCATTGGGTTATAATTTTTTTCGTATTCATCTATATGAATTGATGACATGAAATAGAAAGAAATCTGTTTTATAATAAAGTAAATTGACTCTTTTGAGAAATTCGAACTAGCACGTTTTATAAATTTATCAAAATTGATATATTAGCATAATAATGAACGAAAATGTCGTTATTATATTTTCTAATTCATTAATTTCGTTTATTCGAATAAAAATCTAGGACTTTGTGGTATTTGGAGATATAATTTCGCGCCTTTTTTCATTTGATTAAAGCAAGACAAAATGGAAATTATTTAACCAAAAAAAAAAGAAAAAAAAATGGAAATTAGTACAAATTTTAATTAAAAGATTATATTAAGAATATTCATTGCAATAACCCGCACTCTTACTCTAACGTCGTTCACCAAACATGCAATATAATAAGTCAAATACGCGACTCTCTTCTCTCTCTTTTTTTTCTTTTTTTTTGCATGGTCAAACGATACACGACTCGTATTATGGGGATACTATTGGGGTCCACAGCCCACCAAATCACAGGCTGACACGTGCACAGGAAAGAGCAGACACGCAGACATTTCGCGGGTGGCAGTGTCGTAGATAAATAGTCAAAGGAAGGGCAGTTTCGATACACGAAAACTACAGTATTTGCCCAATTGGCAAAATTCAATGCCATTAAAGTTGGCATGGGTAGTTGCATCTTCCACCATCCCCTCTGCCTAAAATTTTTGCGCCCTCCAAATAAAATTTTTATTACAATTATTGTATTGCATGTAAAATACACGCATACAGAAATATAAGTTTTCATTTTGATTCAGATAATAATAATAAAAATCATATTATAATATGTTCATAGATCATCTCAGATTATTATAATGATATTTCTCTCACTAAAAACTTTGCCTTTAAATTCTCATCATTCCCCCCCGCATTTCATCACACTTTTCTTTCTTAAAATTTCACAACCAAAATCTCCAACTCTTTCGTGGTTTATTTCCTTCATTGTCCACTTCTTTCAAACAAAGGGTTTCCCTTAAAAAACATCGATCGTCTCATTCTTTGATTCATAACGTTGCAACCGGACAACAAAATGGCTAACGACAGCAGACATAACCGGAACCAGATGAACGGACCCACTCCCGTCTCCGTCCAGGTCACGGACCGAGACCACGACCACGACCGCCGCAATAACCTGCCGAACTTCCTCCTGTCCGTACGTCTAAAGTACGTGAAACTCGGATACCATTACCTAATCTCCAACGCCATGTACATCCTCCTCCTCCCTTTACTCGCTGCCGCTTCTGCAAATCTCTCCTCTCTCACCTTCCATGACCTTCGCCTCCTATGGGACCATCTCCGTTTCCACTTCGTCTCCGCCACTCTCTGCACTGCCCTTCTCATCTTCCTCGCCACCGTATATTTCACCACCCGTCCACGACGCGTCTTCCTCCTCGACTTCGCCTGTTACAAGCCCGACCCATCACAGAAATGCCCTCGCGAAATCTTCATGGACCGTTCCCGAAACGTTGGGATCTTCACGGAGGACAACCTCGCCTTCCAACAGAAGATTCTCGAGCGTTCCGGTCTCGGACAAGACACCTACTTTCCCGAGGCCTTGCTCCGTGTTCCTCCGAATCCGTGTATGGCGGAGGCGAGGAAAGAGGCGGAGACTGTGATGTTCGGCGCCATTGATGAGCTCTTGGAGAAGACAGGAGTGAAACCTAAGGACATTGGGATACTTGTCGTGAACTGCAGCTTGTTCAATCCGACTCCGTCTTTGTCGGCCATGATCGTCAACAAGTATAAGCTCAGAGGAAATATCTTGAGCTATAATCTTGGTGGCATGGGCTGCAGTGCTGGGCTCATCTCCATTGATCTTGCCAAACAGCTTCTTCAGGTATATATATATTCAATATTGCTCTTATTATTACGTGTTTTTTTAAATGTTTTTTCTCTTTGTTTAATTTGGTGTAGATACAAAAAGAACAAATATTGCAATGTTTTTGCGCGTTTCGCATATTTCTCAAGTTATCTATATTGGTGGGTAACTGAAATAGTTAGCAATACATAGTCCCAAGGAAGTCGACCAAAATATTTTATTCATATATATATATATATATATATGTATATATATATATATATATATATATTATTTTGGGTAATCTCATCCTATGGTTGAGTTGCTTGGAACAGAAAAGACTTTCCATGTTGGCATGTGTCTTTTTATATTAATATTGATAGTCTGACAAATTTTGGTTTCTAGTTGGTTGGTGGTTGCCACAATGGTTAAAAAAAATACAATATTGTATTTTGTTATTATATCATATGCTCACATATTTACAGCACATATATTAGAATGGGTCCAGAATCTTAACCCCATTTTGGCTGTCAACAGATGGTGGTAGACCCCATCTGGCTTATGCTATAATAAATACACGGAAACACACATAATTTTACCTTAGTTTATACAAAATATTTATTTAAAATACTAATTATCTTAAAACCCAAATAATTTTTTTATAAAAATGTTAGAAGTACTGCATTTATTATTATTAATACGTCAATTTTCAACTCCATTTTTTTTATTTATGTATAATAATGAATTAATATTATAAAAGAAATTTAAAACGGATGAAAAATAAGTAAACTCATAGGTTGGTCAGTCGACGCACATTTACATCTATTGAATGCAAAATTAGTTGGTGTATTATAGACTGTTCCGTACACTCGGGTCTGAATAAAACTCAAATGCCACGTGGGAAGTCACGTGGTGCCATGTGTGTGGATTTGTAAGAGCAAATCCCACATCTTTAGCCTGTTTGGTTGGCGGTTGAACATTATACCTAAAAGGTGTTAGTTTTTTTTGGTAGCGTTTGGAACTAAATTAAATGTACATGCATGCGTCCATACGTACACAATATATATATATAGAATATGGTATCGGCATCTGGTTGTCGTAGATCTACATTGTCTTGTCATAAATGGTAACCGAATCCCCATGGACTGACAAATTACGAACTGCATAATGATCTTTTGGAATATAAGATTTTTTTATATATATAAAAAAAAAGAATATATTCTCGTATGAAATGGAATCGCGAGCAATCAGTTTGGTTTGATAGATGATCTAAATCGTCTTTTGATTTATTTCATTCATTCAATCAGACCATTTAATGTATATACGAAATCATATATATATATATATGTATGTATATATTGGTGGGTTGAATATGACACATAACTAGAAAGGCATGTAGATTAAGATGTAAATTGCATTTAAAAAATTTCACCCAAAAACTTCCACAATTTATTGAAAGAACTATGCTTTCAATCCTTCAGTCACTGAAAGCAACACATAATTAATTTTATATATGTCGTCCGTCAATAACATATATTAATATACAGACCGACATAACATAACATAAGCGCTGGCTAAAGATTTATAGATTCGGCCCAGTAGTTTCGATTGTGTCATCATGCCCCCATAAACGGCTGGAACTTTTTTCAGATATGGCCTAATGGTTTGAAATGTTGCATGCAGGTCCAGCCGAACTCATACGCCCTGGTTGTAAGCATGGAGAACATAACACTGAACTGGTACTTCGGCAACGAAAGATCAATGCTCCTCTCTAACTGCATCTTCCGGATGGGCGGCGCCGCCATCCTCCTCTCGAACCGCTCGTCCGACCGGCGGCGTTCCAAGTACCAACTCATCCACACTGTCCGAACCCACAAGGGAGCCGACGACAATGCCTACGGCTGCGTCTTCCAACGCGAAGACGACAACGGACAAATCGGAGTTTCCCTCTCGAAGAACCTCATGGCCATAGCCGGAGAAGCCCTCAAGACGAACATCACCACGCTCGGACCGCTCGTCCTCCCGATGTCGGAACAGCTCCTGTTCTTCGTCACCCTGGTCGCGAGAAAGGCGTTGAAGATGAAGATAAAGCCGTACATTCCAGATTTCAAGCTGGCGTTCGAGCATTTCTGCATCCACGCGGGAGGGAGAGCGGTGTTGGATGAGATCGAGAAGAATCTTGAACTGTCTGACTGGCACATGGAGCCGTCGAGAATGACGTTGAACAGGTTTGGGAACACGTCGAGTAGTTCATTGTGGTACGAGTTGGCGTACAGCGAGGCGAAAGGGAGGATCAAGAAAGGGGACAGGACATGGCAGATAGCGTTCGGGTCGGGGTTTAAGTGTAACAGTGCAGTCTGGAAGGCGTTGAGGACGGTGGATCCGACCAAGGAGAAGAATCCATGGATCGATGAGATTCATCAGTTCCCGGTTCACGTCCCGAAGATAACTCCCGTGTCTTAGGGTTTCTTCATGACACGCATTGCAACAACTTTTATGTATATCTATATGTAATATTGTGTATGGATTTTATATGTTCGGTCATTTGTTGTAGTTGGAAGATTTTTTTTCTTTTTTGTCTCAGAAAGTAGACATTCTAATTTGGTTATAATTTATTTGGTTTATATATGTCGAATTTTGTGTCTTTAATTCACAAACTGAGCAAATTCACAATCCCAACAACAAGCCTTCCATACAAATACACACACTATTATTATACATTATGGCCTCTCGGACATAAGAAGCCGTTTTATTACAAACCTTTGTTTTTTTTGCACACAAAGCATAAGTCAAAGTACATGGGTTTCGTTTTTTGGGGCTGTGGCCCGACCGTGATAATATCGTGTCTAGGAAGAAACTGCAGGTTCCGGAACCTTACCGCTGCCGGACTCGGAGCTGACGCTGTCGTAATAGTCGACCAGCACCTTCCAACCAGACGGGCACATGAATCCGTCTGGTGGGTTCTCTTTCTTCCTCGCCAAGCCACGCATCTGCCCGAACAAAAGAACCCTAGTTTGAGTCCAAATAGCGTGGCTTTTAAGTTTCAATCCTGGTTCGAATGGGGAATTTTACCTTGGTGCCTGATATGAAGAGGAAATCCTGTGGCCTCGATGGATCGAAAAAGGCCATCTTCCCCTGAGTTGTATCGTAAGCTGCGACCTACAAAAGAGAGATAAATGATCCTATTAAACCCTGAAAATATCTCGGATGACTATCCAAACGAGAGATATTTCTTGGATGAACAAGAATATGGATCCAAACCTTAAAGGGAAGGATGTTGAGGCGCTGGAGACCGGGAGCCATGCTGAGTACTTTCTTGCCATGGTCGGCGTTGTAGAGATCCCTCTTCTCGATTGGGTGGCCCATACCGGCTGGATCTCGGCCAACTATGTAGAAATTGGCTCCGGCATTGATCCTGGCCTTGGCATGCCACTGCACTTCAGTCGGACCTGCGTAGTGCATCGGTGATGGGAAGATGGAGACAATTGTCGTGTCCGGATCAAGAACTCCGTCTTCCAGTACCTGCCCATTCCTCGTTGACAGAAATCATGCTGTAGATTTACCACTTAAAAAGGGTAATCTTATGATCTAATCTCATTTCATGCAAGCCTCATAATGTTCATCCACCAAAATCAGCTCAAAACTATGTCAAGTATCAAACATACCCACCGTTATCCTCTTGACTATCCAACCCTATCCGTCTACTTAAGCAAGTAGAGTCACGGTTCCTTAGGAGACAAGGCACCAAGGTTTAAGGTCTCAAAGAGACAGAAACAGAGACAGAGAGATGAAGAAGAAGGTACCTTCTCATGCTGCTTCATTCGCCAGCTGAGGGGAACATCGTCGGCCTTAGTGAATCCTCCCAGTGGATGGAGCAACAAGACAGGGTTCTTATAACCCATTTCCAGGAGTCTCCGGCGAGTGTCAGTCATGAGAAGGGCGTGGCCATTGTGGACCGGATTCCTCAGCTGAAACGCAAACACTGCATCAGCATCACGCCTATTAAACTCTTCTCGGAGCTGTGTCGGGGACAGCCTGAACCGATCGAGACCGTCATTGTATTTGATCGGTTCAAGCACTTCTAAATCTCCTCCGATCAGCCAGTTTCCGGCTTTGGTTATAGCCTCTTCCGCGTACGGAAGCCCCTGCGCAGTGGTTCCCCATGTCCTGGCCATTCGTTCTTCTTTCGGGTGCTTGTAAATCTCGATACTGGATCAGAGAAATCAATCAGAAATGAGCTAAACATCATCAGTTCTCCAAATCGTAACGAATGTCAGAGGCGAAGTTATCCAATCTGGTTGGATAATTTCCACCTCTTTGCTCAAGGAAACTATGTCAATTAGCTATAAGAATCATCAAATCGGGGAGGGTACTTGATATCAATTAGGATTTTCCGGAAAAGTGTTCATCTTTGTTGACAGAAACCAGAGTCCATGACTCAGTGAGCTGTTCTACTGCTATCTGTGTTCTTTGCCAAACTGTAAAATTGCAAATCGTCCGTAAAACTCAAATTAAGATCAATTCGACCTGTCGTCGAATCTAATGGTATGATTAGCCAAATGCAATCCGGGAGGGAATCGCAATTTCGTTTTACGTTCTATGCAAGAAATCAGGGATGAGTTATCATGATTTTTATATTGAGAATCGAATTGAATCATCATGTAAAAAACAACAGAAGAGGGCGAAGGGAACTCACTCGCTGAGAATGGCGACCGGGTTACCAGCCGGGTCAACGAGTGTGACTCGGTCCGAGACACCGATCCGGGTCTTCTGCTCGTCGTCGATCGCGAGGACGATCGGCACCGACATGTTGACAACGGAGCCGTCGTCGAGCCGGAGCGAGTTGAAATGAAGTGTTTGGAGGAACTCAGATTCTCTCATGAACCCACGGAGAGGGCTTGCCCAGCCCTCGCTCAGCACGTGGACCCACTGCAGATCGATCCGGCTCAGACGGATCCTGGTCGGCAGCGTCTCCGCCTCGCGTCGCTTCACCCGCCGCCGTGACTCCTCCACGACGAGGTCCACGAGCTTCCCGCCATCAGGCTCGATGAGCCCCGATCGAACCGCGAGACGACGGCCGCGGCGGAGGCGGTGAGAGGGGACGAAGGAGACGGAAGGTAAGCCATGGGCATGGCGGGAGACAAACTGGTTGCTGAGGAACAGAGAACGAAACGGAGAATCGGAGAAGACGATCGCCGAGGAAGCCATTGAAGGCCGGGAAAGTGTTAAAACACAGATGGTTGCTTTGGCTCTTATATAACTTAATAATGGCTTAACCAGCCCCTTAATCGAGATTAAGCCACAAAATGACCCTATGCCCGAATAATTAAATGCTAATCACGAGTTGAGTTAGTGGGTGGCGAATGGACACACATGATATTTTCCAATTGACCTCCATCTAATACCGTTATACGTAATTGATCAACGCAATTGCCAACTAATATTATTTTTTAAAATTTTTTTTACATAAACAAATTGGAACATGGACCAACTTTTGTCCGAATATTATTTGGTTAATCCAATATGGAACCAAACAAGATTAACAACCATTTTTTTAGAGAGTTGCTTTTGCAAATAGAGACAAGATTAGTTTGAATTATGTTGGAAAGAGTATCTTTTTCTCATTTGGACTGACATTTATCTAACCAATTACAACTTTGGGATACACGTCGCTCCCCACAAATTACATTATTTACAAACTTTAAAAAATTCACGATCAAGCAAGTTCGAACTTGGTTTGGAATTCCGGGTGTGTACATAATCATAAACAAATGGTAATATCAAAAACGATTATTTATTTATATATATATATATATATATAAAGTTAATTATATATGATTATTTATGGTACAATAGAATAATTAGTGCTAATGCCGGGAGATTTATCAACGCCGTGAGTTTTCATGAGTTCCCTAGCTCTCTCCACGTCATTCCAACGATCAACGCCGGCGTAAATATTCGACAAAAGCACGTAATTTCTACCATTCTCCGGTTCTAACCCCAACAAATTTTTTTGCGCAATTTGCCCCCTCTCCAAGTCCCCATGAATTGTAGCTGCCCCCAAGAACGACCTCCACAGCTTGGCGTTCGGCTTCATCGGCATCTTCTCGATCCATTCTTCCGCTTCCTTTAGCCGCCCGGCTCGGCCGAGAAGATCCACCAGACACCCGTAATGCTCGACCTTAGGCTCCACCCCGTGAGCACCTTTGATCGAATGGAATACGCCCAGACCCTCTTCGACCAGACCCGAGTGCGAGCACGCCGATATTGTCACTAGAAAGGTCGCATCGTCGGGAATCAATCCTCGGGAGATCATCTTCTCGTAAACTTCGAGAGCTTCGTGGCCGAGACCGTGAATAGCCAGGCCACGGATCATGGCGTTGTAACATGATGTGTCTCTGTGAGGCATTTTGTCGAACACTTGGCGGGCGAGATTCAGACATCCGCACTTCGCGTAGAAATCGATCAGAGAAGTGCCCACGAACTGATTCAGATTCAGATTGTTCTTTATCAGATAAACATGAGCCCAGAAGCCTTCCCAAAAAGCGCCGATATTCGTACATGCTTTGATGAGAGCCACGAGAGAGACCTCATTTGGTTTCACCGACGAACTCCTCTGCATTTTCCCGAACAATTGCAAAACCTCCGCGGAAGAACCCAGATCACCGTCTCCGTATGCATCTCCGACACGCGTATATGCAGTGAGAACGGTGTTCCACGTTGCCAAATCGGGTTCGCTGATTCGATCGAACAGAGTTCTAGCGACCCCCAATTTCCCACAATTGGCGTAGAATCCGACCAAACCAGCAAGCACAAACCGATCACAGCTCTCATGATCAAGGAATTTCAGGATATGGGCATGAAGAGACCGGCCATGGCGGTGCCACCGTGGATCGCACCCACAGGCCTTGAACAGAGAAGGATACGTGAAGGCGTTTGGCCTAACATCTCTAGAGCACAAAACCTCTGAGTATAGAGAAATCACGATATGGGTGTGGCTCGATCCGTGGATCGATACGACGGAGGAGATGAGGGTGTTGAAGAGGAAGACGGAGGGGTTACGAATACGGTGGAATACGGAGAGCGCGTAGGGTAAGGAGAGGGTGGAGGATAAGAGGAGGAGCTTGCTGATGGGGAATGTATGGCGGGAGAGTCCCGTCGTGAGGAGGCGGCCATGGATTTGCTTGAGGGCCCCTAGGGTTCTGCATCTCGGTATGAGGTTTAAAGTTATGTCTTCATGGCTTGTGCTCGGAGATGTCATTTAAAAAAAAAAAAAAAAAATCTCTGCTCGTCAGTTTTCAAATCGGAATATGGAGGGAGATTGCCGTATCTATCTATTCATATAAACACATATAAATATAGGAGATGACAATAATTAATTATATTTTGCTCTAATCTTAAGCATATTAATATATATATATATATCTACATACAATGATATAAAAAAAAATTGAATTGAAATGCACTTTCATACGTATTAAATCACTTGTATAGGATTAGATAAACACGGAGGAAAATATAAAGATTTCTGGTCCGCCTATAGGGCTTAGGGTATTATTGGGCTCAAACACACATGGATGTATATATTGGGCCGAGGCCCATTTGATTATCGAGCTTAATATTAGCCCAATAATCATGGGCTGGACTGACCCATCTATGTATCGTTTGATTTGTATATGGACCGCACGCCTATGTATATATATATATATATATATATATATATATATATATAAATAAATGAAAATTTTAATTTAAAAAAAAAAGGACGAATTGGTGTAAATTTCAAATTGGCAGACGAATATATTCCCTAACAAAAAAAAATATATAGATTACATGAATATGTGAATGTAAGTTAAGGTGTTTTTATGAATAAACGTGAGAAAGGCAGTCAAGGTTGTGGAAAAAGCAGGTCAAGGTGTCTTTGCAATTGCAAACACACGTCAAAGGGCAACACCCACTTTTGGTCCCTACAAGAAGACAATCCCACCTTTCCTCATCTCCAATAAAATAAGAATCATACATTTATAATATCCCTTTTTCATTTTTTTATTTAAATATTATGAAAAAAAAAAGTGGACTGATAATTCTTTTGGAACACCTTTAGTGAAAATGATGCATCAAATCCTTCCTCTTCAATAGTACATCTCCCACACATCCCCCGATAAAAATAAAATTAAAAATTAGAGAACAAAAAAGATGTGATATATATATTCTCCATCATTAATTCTTTTACAAAATTCATTTTTCATGCTAATTATTGATATGAAAAAGTATTGTGATGATTCTCTTTAAGCAAACAAAAAATAAAGACAAACGATGTTTCTTTTCTTTATATGATAGCAATCCATATATTTTCAGTCTTTTTTTAGTGTTTAAAAGATGGGGAACTCATAATTTTGGGATTCATATGTAATGATTGCTATTTAAACCTTAGTCCGATGAAGAAAAAAAATTATAAAAATTATTTCTTATGTGCTAATGGATATGAACCTTTTTTGGTATAATTTCATAACACCACATATCGTCTAAGGTTGCAATATTTTATGTGAAAATGCATGCAAATAATAAGCATGTATTGTTGTCGCATTCATATTATAAATAATTTCCCCATTTTTTCATCTGCTACCCATTTGATCTTGACAGAGATACTCATGTAAGCGTTGAACAAGGACAACTAAACGACAAAACACAGAATTTCTTCGTCGCACCATATATATGTACATATTTTATATATAGATATCATATGTTTTCTTTAACAAAAAAAAGATATAATATGTTTTGCATAAATCATTTCATGGTTTGTTTATAAAAAAAAAATTTGTTTTTGGTTATTTAGGCTTTTTATGGAACTTGTTAAAATTTTTGGGAACACAAGTGCACTTTGGGTGCTTTTCACAATAAAAGCAAAATAGGGCTAAGAGCTCAGAGATGATAAAAGGCAGTGCTGCCAAAGTAGCTTGTGTTATTCTTTTTTTTTTAATTTATCTATTTTTTTATTTTCACAATTTATTATAAAAACAGGAAAATGGATATTAATTCCACATTATTGTCTAAGTTAATCACACGTAAATACGATTTTAATTCGTACAAGGAAACATTTTGTGCTATTATATTGTTAGGCATCAAAGTGTGTACGTAATTATAATCGTTTTAATATCACGACTAAATAAGTGTAGTAATTCAAATTTACGGGTCAATATGACAATAAAAACAGTACAATATCGTAAACTTTATACTAGACTTTTACAGTGATTAAATTGTTTAAAATTGTTGTATTTTGGTAATAAACACAATATTTACCTTTAGTTGTTTATCTTTAAAGCTAAAGGAGAACAGTGGCAGATGTGCAGATTTTACACCGTTTAAGGCCAACTCAGACATGGTTAACATTTTTAACTCTGCATATTTACCTTTTCTTCTCTCGTTACCTGCAACTAATATATATATATATATATATATA